TGCAACTTCACATGGTTCAAAGAATTACGTATATATAAATAAATAAACATAATATATATAAATAAGAATATGGCAAAATGTTAACTGCTGAACTTAGATGGTAAGCATATGGGTAATGTTTAAAACTGTTCATAATAAAACATTGGGGAAAAAAAACCAAGAAGTTGCATTTAGGGACTGTCCCATGTGAAATCTCTCATCTTTTCCCTTTCCATTCATCATACAGATGGTTGAGGTGGGGGTGGTAGTGCAAAAAACAGCTGATAGAGAAATGTATTCAGCCATCAGTCAACTAACTAAAAGACAAGTTCTATGAAACTTGTGAAATAACGTTGTCACTTACAGAGTCAGTTAGCCAGATGGTGAGAAGTCAGTAACTAAAATCTATGGTTTCAAGAAAGATTCTTTTGTGTAGGGGTAGGAGTGAGTATTAGCCTTTCCAATGGACCTCATCCAGGGAATTTATCTAGAGATATTTAGGGACCACATTTTGAAGACATTAAGGCAACTACAGAAGAAAATAAGTTATGTAGTCCCCTCTAGGACACAGATAATCTTAAGAAGCATCCCTCATATGCTAATAAATAACGCTTATCTGTACGTGAGTAAATTGACCTTAAGGGATGGTCTGAGAACAAAAAGGATTATGTAGGAAATAAGCCAAAAATTTTTGTACAGCCAAAAAACTGCCGTACAATTTTACGGTGTTATTGAAGGACTAATAAAGAAACCAAAAGGATTGCAAGTGAAAAAATAAAGAGATTTTACGAAACCAGAAAACAAAAACAAATGAAATAAAAACCCCCAAGAGACAAAAAAAAATCATTTCTTGAGTTAATTTACTAAATCTTTTGTAGCATATAACCTGCAAAAAACTCTGTGTGTCTTTTAAGAAATGTCTGCAGTCCTTTAGTAGAGAATTTCTTGCAGGGCTAGATCTGGATTTGAAGGTCCCTCCAAAGAGCCCAACAGAACTCCACTGACTTTTTAAGAATGTTAAGGGAACAATCTAAAACATGAAAAATGTTTAAAGTCTTATTTAGAACATTAAAAATTAGAAGCAGGGGCTGGCCCAGTGGCGCAGCAGTTAAGTGCACACATTCTGCTTTGGCGGCCAGGGGTTTGCCGGTTCGGATCCTGGGTGCGGACACGGCACCGCTTGGCAAGCCATGCTGTGGTAGACATCCCACATATAGAGGAAGATGGGCATGGATGTTAGCTCAGGGCCAGTCTTCCTCAGCAAAAAAAAAAAAAAAAAAAAGAGGAGGATTGGCAGCAGTTAGCTCAGGGCTAATCTTCCTCAAAAAAAAAAAATTAGAAGCAATCTGAAAGGTCTAACAGTGGAAGAACGATGCATTTACAATGTGAACACACATGTGATGGAATATTATTCAGCAATTTCAATGAAGTATAAAGAGTGAGCCACAAGAAAGAAAGAATGTTAAGGTAAAAAAATTAAGGAAATTAATAAGTAAATATACTTATGACTGTTAAAAAAATAGTCGGGAATACCAAAAAAACAATTATATTGGGATGCTGGAATCATATTTGTTTCCCTCCCCGCCAGCTCTATCAAATTTTTTTAAAAAGTTATTACTATAAAAGAATGAAAAAGGAAGGTAAGAATGCCATGGCTGGAAGGCCACTAATTAAGTCACATACAAAGAGCCTCAAGATAAGACCTAATGTGAGATATGAGACTAGATATTATAAGAAAGGTCACTGTCCTCAACAATTAATTGTCTCTGCTATTTTCATTCAAACAGCAAGCCATGCAAAACCACCGATTCTTCCTTTTTTCCTAATGGTAGGTCCCAAAAGGTATCCATCAAAGAGCTGCCTAGAGCATTGCTGATTATGACCAGCCTTCAGACAGCTTATTCTCAAAGGCTTTTTCAGGTCTGATTTGACATGAAATACACTACTTTTCTGGAGTACTTTTTTTTTTCCTTTGGTGAAAGAACAATGATGTTTAGTTACCCATCTTTTAAAACCACAATCGTAAAATCCAACTCATATATTGCTACTGCATTTTAGAGGGTTAAGGAGTCCCCAACCTAGACAGGCTATGGTTAAAAAAAAAAAAAAAGAAATTTTTTTAGGTTGCTTGTTTGAAACTCAAAAAGCATTTTTTCCCAGAAATATTATAGTAATAAAGGAAATGGATCTGCCCACTAAGGCTTAATTTCCATAATCTCTCCCTCAATTTCCTGGCCTAGAAGACTAATGGTTACTTAGGATGCTTCTATGCTTTCCTGGAGCCTCTCAGGCAGGTCTCCATTTCTACCACGGAATTTTCATAAGTGAGGTATTTTTCAGCTGGGAAATGCCTCGCTAACAATTTAATTTTCTATCACCTAAAATCTTCTAATATTAATTTTCACAAAACAGATAACACTTGACTAACTTAAATTTTAGATGAAAAATAGTTTTTAGGGGCCAGCCTGGTGGTGTAGTGGTTAGGTTCATGCACTTGCTTCAGTAGCCAGGGGTTCACAGGTTCAGATCCCAGGTACAGACCTACACACTGCTCATCAAGCCATGCTGTGGAGGTGTTCTACATAGAAAATAGTGGAAGATTGACACGGATGTTAGCTCAGGGACAATCGTCCTCAAGTAAAAAGGGGAAGATTGGCAATAGATGTTAGCTTAAGGCTGATCCTCCTCACCAAAAAAATATATATCCATATTTTTTTAGCAACCAGAAAATTAACAACAAAGGGGTATAAAAGAGCACTGAAATGTCCTAAGAGTTTGTGGACCTCAAACATCAAAAGCAAGATGCTGTTTTAAAATAGGTAAAAACTCAAGTGTAAAGATGGATGAATTTAAATTTAATCCTTTTTGTATAAAACTAAATAGTACTCTAATACCACTGGCACTAAGTGCTGAAAAAATAAGCTATAAAGCAAATACATGAAACAGTATTACAATTTAAATTCTTTGGATTCTTTATCTTCTAAGCCCCCACTTTTAATACAGAATTAGCTTTCCCAATCTAAGCACAGTAGTATTCTTTAACACTTTACACGTAAAAGCAGTACTTAAAGGGCACTTTGTGAGTTTTCAGTTATCAGGAAAGCTTTAAAAGAAAAAGTGGGGGTTAAAAGACAAGACAGCTTCAGACAGTAGCAGAGTATAACTGGAACAAATACTGGCTTAGACCTTATGTCTCTGACTACGTTCCTCTATTTTTCTACAAAAACCTTTTAACGTCTGATAGTTTCATCAGCCTTTCCATTTTTAAACAAGAAACCTTTACTTCCCATTATATCCAAGATAAATGAGCCCTAAGATTTCCTAAAGGGTAGACCTCAATTGTTGAGTTCCCTTTACATATGGCAAACATTTGTTTTAATTTCTGTTGAGACAGGGTTTTACGCTCCAAAGTGAACTTTCACTAGAGTGCTTAGGATGTTCACGAAAATTTTCCAAAGCTCTCTTTTCTGGTCCATTCAGAACAATCGGAATCGATAGAAGCAACAGGAGAACTGGAGCATATATTAGTCATACTTGATTCTCTCTGTCAGCGGTTCCCCTTTGTAATGGGAAATAATTTGAATTAGGATGGAAGAGTTGATAAGAAGGAAGAACAAACCAGCTAACCAGATAAACAGAAAGGTGTTCTGTCCTTGAAACTCAAGAACATATGCAGGAGCCAGCCATAAGGCCTGCCCTATAAACCACAACAGCAGGAGAACTACAGCTCTTTTCCAGGGCATTCTCACTAGCGGCATCACAAGGGGCAACAGGCAGAGGTACCAAAGAAAGTACTGGGAGGTGCAGACTTTGTTAAAAGTCACAAAAATGGACGTATGGAGAAAACAACAAAAGACAAGGTCTCTGTAATAGGCGAAAGACACCGCCGAAAGCAAGATAAACTGTGGTAGGAACGCGGCAATTCCCAGAGAAAAACTCCACTTGCTCTCTGCAGTCAAATACAGCATGTAGAAGTACGGAGAAAAGTTGTGCCGGATATCCCGCCTAGTCAGGTGATACAGGTAGGTGTGCTGCAAAAATTCCCAACCATATTTATAGTAGAAACCGAAGCTCAGAGCGAAAAACGTGAGTCCAGCAACTCCTACGAAGAGCAGCACAGCCCGATTACACAGCCTCTTCAGGAACTCGCACAAACGAGCCTTGAAAGAATACCGAGATTGACGGAGGCCCTCGTCGTTGTCGCGTTCTGGAAGCAAGTGGAGAGCTATGGGGAGGATATAGGTCACCGGATATATCTTCATATGCACGGCGAAACCATAAAACACGGCGGCACAGGCGACGAGTCTTTTTTCTATGAGGTACAGGGCCATAAGTACCAGGGAGGCGACGATCGCGTCCGCACTGCCCCGGCTGGATACCGCCATGGGGAGGGGGTTAAGAAGCCAGAACACACAGTAGCCGCAAGCCTGGCGGCGACCCAGCCCCTTAAGAAGCAGCAGGCGGTATTGGAGGAAAGCGGTGAGGAGGTCGCAGCTGATGAAGAGAAACTTTCCAAAGAGTTCATTGAGGTAGATGTTGGGGGTGAGGAGCCAACCTAGTAGCGGAGTGTAACGGTACGTCACCCTCAGATAAGGGGAGCGCCCTTCCGTGATGAAGCGCGCGGCGTCCGTGAACACCTGGTAGTCGATGTCTGTATACCGCACGAGCAGGGTCCGGTCCTGGAAAACCCCATAGAAAACCAGGGCGACTCGGGCAAGGAAGGCCACCCCAAACACCCCGAGGGGGGACACCCGCAGGTTCAGGAACCATTCTCCCCAATGCTTGGTCGGCACCATGATCTGTCTGCTCAAAAGCCGCTCAGCCCCAGTTCCAAACAGCCTTGGAATCTCTGACCTTCCCTTCGGTTCCTCGCCTCAGGCGGCCAGCGCATCTCCTACCAGTGGAGCTACCAACTGAAACAACTGCAGACGATCACTTCCGGCATGAAGCCCCGCCCCCGTCCTGCTTCCGATCGCCGGTCCCGCGCCCGGCCCTCAGTGGCTCCAACTGGAGAATGTCCTTCCTCTGGATTGGCTGTCTCGGCTGCTTCCTCTGGCGGGGGTGGGATTTCCGGTCTGTGGAGCAGGTGACTTCCACTTGCCGGAAAGACCCGGGCTGGCTAGCGTTTTTAAGGCGCGGAGTGGGTTTTGTTTGTGAATGACTGCTTCGGTCGGCGGAGACGGACCTGTGAAACGAAGTGAGCTTCAAGCTACATTCCTCAGGCTTGAGCCGGAGACCTGAGAGTGAAAAATGTAGGAGTGAAGGAAAAAGAAACCTGAGATAGTTTCTCAGGCTTTCCTCTGCCGGCTCGCCGGTAATCCCGGGGGTCTGTTGAGGGCCGGGCTAAAACGAGTTGAAGGGGGCCCAGGGTGTGTATGTCCCGTGCAGTATTTGGGGTTTACTTATATTTTGAAATTGGTAGTTTCTCTAAATTCGAATTTAAATCGGCGGCCAGTGTTTTATCCGGCAACCCTAGGTGGAGGGGCGGAAAGGGCGGACAGGGAAGCTTCATAGATTTCCTCAGCTGTGTGGTGCCTCCATGCCTCAGCCCAGTTGTATTCGCCCTTCTTTCTGTCAAGGTTGCCTTCCCCTCCGCAGTCAGTAACTAACCCGTTAGACCTCGGCTGGAGCGTTAATTCCTAAAAGCATATCCTGGCGCTCAGCTTACTTTTTCATCACCCGGTGGGACTGAAATGCAGATTCTCTCCGCTGACTGAGGGTAAACAGACTGGGGCAAAGGGGCTCTAAGCTCCAGAAAATCATTCACCCAGAAGACCCTGCCCTTCATAAAAGTCTTGTCTAGTGCCTGCCATCTTAGTGGTGCAAAACTCCCTTTTGGAATGACCATTCCTTTATTATAGTGTTTGCCATAACTGATTTGTGATAACTGATGTTTTGTTTGTTCTCTTCGCAGTGTTCCATCAGGACGCTTTGAGGTCTTTGAGAACAGATTATCTTGTTCTTTTCTGTACCTCAGCATCTAAGACATTACCAGACTTATAGTAGAAATTCCATAAAGGTTGAATTGACTTTGGATGTTCCTCTTACCAGAATACCTCTAGAGTGGCATCCTTGGAGTGCTCCTAACTCCCAGTCCTTTTCTCTTTCGAATGTGCTTTACCTATCTCAAGTTCTGTCCCCGTTCACGCACCCCACTCCAACCCGGCTTCCATGAACTTCTCACCAAGGACTCCAGCCCATTCGCTCTTTCCCTTCTGCGGGCATTTATTACACTTATAGTCTGCATTGCAGAATTTCATAATTTATTTTAGATTGTATTCATAACCCTTTCAATGAGAATTTAGGGTTTTTGAGGTCAGGAATTATATCTTATCCTTAATTTTTTTCAATTACTCATAATTTATTGCAGTCTTAGGCACATGGTAAATGTTCAGTAAATACTGACTGATTTGATTTTACAGATTGATCCTGCTTCCTGGGCAAAGTCTTCTAGTCTAGCATTAAGGAGACGAGATGACTCCATCCAGTCTGAACATCCAGCTCCCAAGACTACCCTCCACTCATCCATCACACGATTTACATTTGTCCTTTGGATAACCATGTTAACCTTCTACGTTCCATTCATATTCTGATATCTCTTTGTCCTCTTATGTGCCGTGGTGTAATTATATGCCTTATATTAATAATTGCTTTTAACTTTTTTCTTTTTGCAGTACAGTAGCTATACATACAGTGGCAGCACATCACTATGCAAATGATCATGATGATGATTTCTAATAGCCAGCTTTGTTGAGGACTTATTTGCAGTGTGTCAGGCATTGTGCTAAATACTAATGTGTAAGGTAGATATCCCACCTTCACAAATGAAGATATCAAGGCTTATGGACATAAAGTAATTTTCCTAAGTCACATAGTCAACTAGTGGCAGAGCTGGAACTTAAAAGTAAGTCTGTCTGGCCCAGAGTATTCTTAACTACTGTGTGGCTAACCTGCAGATACAGTGTTGATGATGAGTTCTAATTTCCCCCTCTGCTTTCTCTCATTGATCTCTTGTCTGAATCTCTCTGAGATTCTCTCTCACTGTGACTCTGTCCTAGTGTTGCGAGGCTCTGAGTGTTGGTTTATTGACCCTGCCCACACCTTTGTAAAGAATCCCTTCGTTATATCTTGTCCATGTAGCCCATTGAGTGTGTCATCCGTTTTCTGCTGGAACTCTGACTACTATCAATCACTTTCTTTTTTTGTAGATCTTGCTTATATTTCTTGCTTTGTAATTTCTTTTAAATGTATTCCTAATTCCTTTCATGCTCGGCATCCTGCACCTTAGTTTAGACCTTCAACAACTCAATTTAATAATATATATTGAACACCTATACTGTACTAGGATCTGTAACATTTACCTTCCCCCAAGCTTTTGCAAGTCTCTTAACTGGTTTAGTGTTTCCTGTCTCTATTCTACTGCCAGATTTATATTCATAAACAGAACTTTAGTTAGATTCTTTCCTTCCTCAAACATCTTCAGTAGCTCCCAACTGCCTATAGAAAAAAATAAAAAACTATTTAGCCTGATATTCAGTCCCTCCATTACCCTACCTTTTCAACCTATTGACCTAGAAAGCCGTCTACTCCAGGTTTATTAACCATCCCTTAAATATACTTTGTGCCTTCTTCCTATGATGCTTTTGCTCATGCTGTACCACCTCTTCATGTATATACCATTTGTCCTCCAATGCTGGGCTCAAACCTCAACTCCTCTGTAAACTCTTCCTAGACCTTAACTAGTGGAAGTGATCTCTCTTTCCCCAAAACAGTGGTGTTTATTGTCTGTTCTTTTTCTTTTTAACAATTATGGCTTATGAAATATGTTATCTAAATCTTTTATGTTCATTTGACAGATATACCAGCTCCACTGCATACTAGCTCTGCGAACTTTAGGCACGGTCCTTCCCTCCCTCTTTTCTTCCTTCCTTCTGCTGCATTTGTTGAGCATCCTACATGCTGGGTGCTGTACTAAGTGCTCAGCTGTACTGGTGACCAAACACTGACATGAATTCCATCCACATGGCACTTAAAGTCTAGTGAGCGAGACAGACATTAGTCAAATAAATTCACAAATGATGTAAAATTGCCACTGTGGTTAAGTGCTATGAAGAGAGGTCCATGGTGCAATCATAGCTTTTAACAGGGGGGGGCTTCGGTCTAAGATGGATATAGTAAGAGTCGTCAAGGTTGGGGATTGGCAGGCAGTAGGGAGAGTTCTACCAAAGGAATAGCAGGTACAAAGCCCAGTAAGACTGTATGTCCCTCGATAGCATGTATCATGTCTTCTATTTCTTTGTTACTTGAAAGGCACCTTCTGTATAATAGGAACTCATTAAACATTTGCTGATTTTTCTTGAATGGTACGTCAAATGTGTTCTAACCAGACCTCTTAGATTGATACCATCCCTTGCCTAGTGCCTGTCCCTGTGAAATGTTTTCCACAGAGGTCTCACTCTTCAGAACATGTTGTTAACGGGATATCTGACCCTTAGTGTATGCTGCTTGTTATTTTATCTTGTTTTCCTCACAAGTTTGTAAGTTTCCTCAAACATTAAGGGACTGTATATTTCATATATCTTATTTATCTATCTGTGTCTTATGACTCATCCCTAAACTGGTGTTTCCTAAATGTTGTAGGTAATCATTTATTGATGATGATAAGAATCCCAGTTTTCTCCCTCCTTCTCCCTCTGTACTTCCATTTCTGGGGAATGAGAGTCAGTGACTGTGGCATCTTTTGCTTCTCATCGGAGAGAATTCAGGGCTAGATATTGAAAACCAGGCCTTTTGCAAGCTAATGATAGATAAGAGCAGAAGAGAAATCCATTCTTTTGAGAGCTGGGGGAAGAAATGCCCAACAATTAAATGAATGGGCTTATAGAGCCTTGAGGATATATAAGGAACGTCTACACTGTAGCATGGAAGGGAAATTGGGCTCATGATCACTGGCCAAAAGGGACAATGCCCAGGATCCAAAGCAACTTGACTTACCTGAATTAAGCTGAACCAATTTTCAGATTCTGGGTCTTAACATTTTTTTTAATATGTCCTTTAAAAACTGCATTGAAAAGTATTTGTTAAAGGATCCTAAAGTTAATGAGGGGAGGTGTGGGAAAGGAGGGAATGGATGATGGCAATGAAGGGGAAAGGCCTGGCCACATGGTCAGAAAGTCTTCCAGCACAGCCTCATTCGACTCTCCTTTCCCATTGGTAGGCCTATGAGTTCAGGCCTTAATAATAGGATTGATTCAGATTTCTAAAAGAAGATAGAGTAAAGAACAGAGATTCATCCATTTTATTTAGTAGGTTGCTCTGAACAGACAAAAATAAACCAAAAAAACATCTCACATCTTTTTCCTAAGTAAATTTGACCTGGTTTAGTCCTTAATGCAATGAATGGAAAAGCCATCTCTAGATACTTCTGCTTCAGTAGAGTTGGCCATTACTGAGCCTGGAGGCCCATGCTAACTTTACAGCAAAGGTAGTGTGTTATTTTACAAATAAACTAGGTTCACTAGCAGGGGTAAAGGACCAGGGGAGCAGCGCTGGGGAGAGGGCAGTGTCCCCAGCTTGTAGCAATAGTATAACTGGCTTCCTTTCTCTGCATAGGCCTCATGGGGAAATCCCTGGATGGTCTTAGTAGCTGACAGAGATCAGAGGGATAACGAAGTGAAGTACACAGAAGGGATTTCAGAAGCCTCTCGTGTCCCTGCACCATCCCCCAGGCAGGTGGCAGCCCCACTCCTTATTTTCATACAGAAGCAACAAAGCCAAAGCACTACCTCTCCCCCATGCCCAAATGCCAGGATTGGGACTTCTAGCATAGAGAGCATTCTCTTTGGGCAGCTTGCAGCCATACAGAGGGCTGGCCCTCTGCCTTGGGAGTATCTTCGGCCCAGCAGCTCTTTCATCCTGGCATTTGGATTCTAGGGTTGAGGTTTCCCTTCAGTGCCTCCCACACACCAGTGTTCAGCATCTCAGTTTAATAGCCATCACTTCCAAGGGCTGGAGCTCCAGTTGCCCCCACCTTGTGGAAGAAGGGGAAATACAGGCCACTTCAAGAGAGGAAAACAGAAGGGTGCTTTTATTTTAAAGCAAAAAAAAAAAAGTGCTACAGTGACAGGACACTTCTGGAGATAGAAGCACACAGCATGAGTAGTGGATTCTCCTAGACTTCCATGGATGGAGTATCTCCCTTCCTCATTTTCCTCCTATCTCCCCTCTTCCTGGTCCTACCAGCAGCACACGGTTTATCAGAAGCCTCAATGGATGCCTCTTTATTTCTGGAGAGCAGATTCCAGCCCTCCCTTTCCCATCATCACACCAGAAAGACCTCATCAGGTGTCTCACATATACTGAAACCAGGTGCACTGGTTTTAAGTCTGGAAATCTGGGGAGTCCTACCCCAAAACCAGAGCAAGATGTCTGTCTCATGCTAAGATCTCTGAATATTTCCTTTCTGTACATTCAGTTATATTTGGTCCTATATACATCTATATACATTTCTCTACATATATATATTATCTCTGTTTCTTTCATATATATGATATCCTAATTCCCGAGCCTTCACCTACCTCTTGTTTGCTAGCCCAAGGAAGACTCCAGGGGTTCATCAATTTCGCTAGGTGCCCCAGCACCACCCATTCTCATCTTCACACCCTGAGTATCCTCCCCCATCAGTTGTCTTGCCTATCCTCTGAAATCCCCCTTAACATCTGTGCCTAGTGCTCTCCTGACATTCCAAGTCTATGGTTGGTGTGATCGGGGGCCCATTTCTCACCAAACCTGGCTCCTTCTAAAGCTTGTCCGATAGCTTGAAAGGGGGTTTCAGCTCAGAGGAGATGGGGGCTGCAGTCTAAAGCCATTAAGGGTTGAGGGTGGGGCATGTTATTCTTTGAGGGGCTTATGGGAGAATAAGCTAAGTTGTATTAAAAAGTATGATTTAAAGTGCAATTTAGAGCAAAGTCTGGGATCATGGAGGAGAATCAGAAAGGGTAGGTGGGAAAATGTTCTCTTCTCATTTTGTTATCCAAGAATCTGTGCAGGGTCTAAGGGCTTAGACAGCAGGGGAATGGGAAGAGAGAAATTCCCTCAGGAAGGATGCAGCTGTGTGCAGAAAAAACTAGACGGAGGATAACTTGCTAATGGATAAGAAGATATAGATACACACACTCACTCACACACACTGCCGTACTTTTTGCCCTTAGACATTGAAAGAAATCAGGTGAGTAACGGTGAATAATGTTGAGAGCTCAGAAGCTGGCTCTGCCTTCTGTTCTCTGTTTTAGATTTTCAAGTTTTTCTGGTTCTTGTTTTCTTGAGAGCTAGGGAGCAGTGGTGGGGTTTATAGTAAGTAGAGAATCAAGGGTCTTCATTAAGATATAGTTAATCGAGTTCAAGGAGAGATCAATATAAGAGGATCTTGTGCAGTTGTAATGAGTGGTGACCGTGGGTCCAGCCTCAAAATTTAGAGTTTCTCTGCAAACCTCTGCACACAGATGCGTGTACACATTTTGGATATGTATGTAGCTGAATCCACCTTAAATAAACTGCCACTTGATTGATATAGGGATTCTGTGCCAAACCACTTTGAGGTGGAGGATGTTCCTTGGTCTAAATGAGACCAGGAAGCACTCTTGAGATTTGGGGCTTTAGAGAAAGTTCTGGTGCCAATACATAAACTTCCTGACTCCAACCACAGTCCCCACAAGGGAACAAGGAATGGCCTGAGTCAGATCTCTTACAGTACACCTTTTAACTTGCCTAAAACTGGCCTCATGGCAGAGGAAAGTAGAGATGAGGCTGATACTCATTTTATACCAAGTCTCAGAAATGGCTGAGGGAGACTGTGGTTACTTGGTCAGGAGGTATAATTTCCTTCCCTCCCAGTATTACCTAATGAAGTAGCTGGCACTTTTCAGAAGGGCCTTGGGAGGGATAATAGGGAGAATAGTGTCTGCCAGCCAGAGTTCTGCCTTAACAAAGCATCCCCAATTCCCAGAGGCTCCATACAGCAGTCTGGAAATCAGAATTTACTCATCCCACTTGGTGGGGTTGGTTTAACTTTCCTGGGGAATCTGTCCCCTGTCAATCTAGTTTTAGTAGAACATCAGTGTTGAGAGGGAGGTCCTTGTATTTCCCCTCCCTGCAAAGGGTTGGGGTTAAGGGAAGAGAGGGCTGGGCTGGACAGGAAAGAATTCAAGAAGCCAGGGACAGTGTAATCTGGAACACCATTTCCAGGCCTTTCCATGGGGCTGAGCACTAGACTTTTTCCAAGGGAACATACTGGTGAGGATCATCCCATTCACAAGGCACAGGGAAACAAATCCCAGGGCTGCCTGGAGGATAGATCCAAGGTTTTGGACAACAGTTCAGCATTATTCATTCCACACTGAAGAGTTCAGAATCCAGAATGGGTGCAGGTGTGGTAGTTGTGACTATATGTTTTGTATTTCTTGGGTTAACTCCAATCCTGCAGGAACAGGCATCTATGAGATAACTGGCTATGCTAAGAAAGGGTCCACTTGAGAAACTAGAAAGAGGAAAATAGTAGTGGCCAAGTTCCTAGGTTATCGTCGAGAGTTACCAACAGAAATTAACTACACCATGAAAAACCCTAACTTCTTTCAACAGGTTGGTAGAGAACCCACGATAAATTAATTTCAGATTCCTATATTTCCGAGGGCACAGACCTCACAGGGACCATCAGAGAGTCTTGCCTTAGGGAACTTGGTAGGTGGGAAGATAGAGAGGAAGGGGGCTCCAGCCTCAAGTCACCCAACTTTCTGGTGATGGCGGGAGGTGGGGGGGAGTCTATCCATCCAACTGCACGGTCCTCCTAATGTGAGTCTCCAAGCATGGCTGAGGCCTTCTAAGCCACTTCAGCCTAATCTTCCCTCTCCTTCCCCCATCCTGGCTTAAAGGAGGTGTGTATCTTGGGGTGGAAGTGGGACGAGGTAAAAGGGGACAATGGGAGGAAAACTTGGATTCCAATTGGCCTAGACTACCCACAGGCCACTGAGTTAAAGAGGGAGTGGAAAATGGGTGTTTCTGGGGCTCTCCAGTAAGCCTGAGTAATATGCCTTACCCAGGCTGCCAAAAGAGGGAAAGAGACCAGAGGGATGGGGCGGTGGGAAACCAAGCCATCAGACATTGCTGATGCGCACACTAAGGGCACTGCCCTCCTTCTCAGCTTGCTCCCTTAATGACTCCTCCAACCTGAGCTTCTCAGGGTCTCCATAGCGTACAGTGCTGTCACGGAGGCCACTAGGAGGGGCCACTTTCACAACTTGGTCAAAAAGGCTGAAGTCAGCTATGTATTTACCACTGGCTGACAGTGAGATAGCAGGTGTGAACTC